GAACTCGTAATCCAGGTGTGGTCTCACAAGAGCAAGATACAGTTTTAGGATGACCTCGCTAGTCTTGTAATCTAACTCCTTTGTATGAACCCAAGTACTTTATTAGCCTTGTTACGAGCAAAAACACATTGTTTTCTTGGCTTAAGGTTCCTACTTATCATTACTCCTAAATCTCTCTCAGTTAGTTCTCTATGGCATCGTTGTTCATCTGGTATCTGGTTTCCCTGTTTACATCTCCTATACTGAGTACTTTACATTTGTCCACGTTGAATTTCATCTGCCATTTTTCAGACCATTCAAAATTTGTTTAGATCTTCCTGTAGTTTTGCAGTCCTCGTCAGATTTATTTCACGTCCTATTTTAGTGTCATCAGCAATTTACTTATGTTGCTGTCTATGCCGATATCTATGTCATTTACATAATAAATAATAATGGTCAAGTACTGAGCCTTGGGAACTCCCTTGTGACATTTCTCCAATGGGACTTAGTGGGTAATGCTCTCGCTGTTTCCTGGCCTTTAACCACGCCCTAATCCATTTAAGGATGTTACCTTTGATGCCATGAGCTTCTACCTTTCTAATTAGTCTTTCGTGGGGGACTCTGTCGAAGGCTTTGCTAAAGTCGAGATATACCACATCATAATTGTACCCCTCGTCCACCGATTCGAAAACTGATGAAAAGAATGTTATAGATTAGTTAGACAAGAACATCCGCTTGTGAAGCCCTGGAAGTACTCTGCTCCAATTGTTCCAGCTAATGGGGATATCACGTTATTAAACAAATTCAAATGAATATGTAAAGGAATTATTAAGACTATATGCATGAAGAAAATTGTTGCAAACTTGCAATAAACATAAATGTTTGATTTTGGGAACTGTGTATTTTAACTATTAGGTGTTCACGAAATGAGTAACAATGTGAGAAATTAATTTAAATACAGTAAAAACTTCCTGGGTAGGTGTTTCCCTGGACCCCCCAGCTCAGAAATATATTTTTATTATTTTTTTTTTTTTTCAAGACCCAATCACATCCCTGTTGACCTCTATACAGTACTTCACTTATGTGTAATAGATCCCTGTGATGCTCTGATTATACTACTTTAACATAGTGTACTCCAGACTAGACAGCAATGCTTATTAGATTCATAACAGACATATATAATCCTATAACTAAACTTAAATACAGTGATCCCTCGGTTAACGAGCACCTCGGTTAACAAAATTTTGGTTAACGATGTACCTTCCATAAGATTCTTAACTTCGGTTAACGAGCATTCCCTCGATTAACAAATTCCTCACGAGCGCCCCTCAACATGTTTTCGCTTGCACACTAGCTGTCCTATTCGTCCGCCAATACAGTAAGCGGTTCTAGGGCTTAAATTCCTTACTATTTTAGTAAATATCAAGAAGTTTGTCCTATTCAATAATTTTAAAAGTCTTATACAGTATTAAAATTTTTAGTCATTTTAACAATTATTTAACATGATTTAAGTACAGGTTGTACCTCCCTAGTCCGGCAACCTCGGGACCTGACAGGTGTCGGACCATGGAAATTTCCGGACCATGGAAATTCACCCTTTTCCTGGACAGATAGTGACTTGCACTTACGTTAGCACCACTTGTCGTACAGTAGCTTCTCAAATTTTGCGAGTTTTTAATTCAACGTTTTTTATTTGGACACACAAAAAAAAACACTACATAATTTAAAATTTTGACGGCGGAAACTCGAATTTTGACGGGTTTGAGCAGCCCGCCAACGTTCAAACGTGCACAATCGTATAAACAGCGTCATTTCTCTTATGTACAAAAGATTCATTTGTTTATTACTGAATGTCTTTTTTATTCAATTAATGTTTATGTGTGCAAAACGAGCAATACAATTAATTAATAATACGTAGAATGTTAAAACACACGAGGAAATGAGACCGCATTGTTTTCGTTGATTACAAAACCAGTGACTGAGTGGTTTTACATATAAAATAAGAAAATAAGACCCTGGTCGTAGCTGCAGTAAAATTAATGTAAAAAATTAATATGGTTGTTTTAAGTAATGTTATTTAATGTTAATAAATAGAACAATAAAAGTAGCAAATCATTAATGTTAAAGAAAAAAAGTGAGACTGCGCGTATGTAAGTGCACACATGTGAAAAAATATCGTCATTACTCTACATAAGAATATGAAAGCAACACTTATTTACTGTTCATATATGTTTTAATTAATGTTTCTGATTTTTTTTATTGAATTAATGTTTGTGTGCAAAATGAACAATACAATTCATTAATAATTCGTGGAATATCAAAACACACGAGGAGATGAGACGGCTGCCGGCATTGTTTTCGTTAATGTTTACAAAACCAGCGACTGATTGGTTCTACATATAAAACAAGAAAAATAAGACCCTGGTTGTAGCTGTAGTAAAATTAATGTAAAAATTAATATGGTTGTTTGAAGTAATGTTATTTAATGTTAATAAATGGAACAATATAAGTAGCTAATCATTAATGGTAAAGGAAAAAAGTGAGACTGCGCATATGTAAGTGAGCACATGTGAAAACATTTTGTCATTACTCTACATAAGAATATGAAAGCAACACTTATTTACTGCTCATATATATATATATATATATATATATATATATATATATATATATATATATATATATATATATATATATATATATATATATATATATATATATATATATATATATATATATATATATATATATATATATATATATATATATATATATATATATATATATATATATATATATATTAAAGGGTTAATGTTGTACTCTGTATAGACAAAACAGAGAGAGAGAGTCGAACTGCCGATGTAAACAAACCTTAATTTATCGTGGCTTTTGTTGTTGTTTTTTACGGGAGTCAGCTCCCGCCCGGGCACAGGTCATTGACCCACATCGGGCCTGAGGGGCTAAGGTGTACATTCTAAAATAATAATAATTAGTGAAGTAAAAACAAAAAAACAAAGTTTTTCTACCTATTGGGCAACTAAAAATCGCTCCGGATCACGGAAGCTCGGACCACAGAATGCCGGACTATAGAGGCACAACCTGTACAGGAAACTAGTTTTTAAAGGCAAACAGCCTGTCACCAATTCACATACAAGCGGGCCAGCCCTGTGCCTTTTTCAGTGGAGGTAACATCTTGCTTCAGACTCTTTTCAACATAAACGCTTTTTATCTGTATTTCCAGTCATATTATTGGTCATTTTGAAATATATTTTACATATTGATAATACAGTCAACCCTCACTTTACGCGGTCCCACATTCCGCGTTTCCACGTTTACGCGGTGCCCTGCCAGAACCCAGGATGCTCACATTCCGCGGTGGGTGTACCCCTTTACACGGTGAAGTATAATTTTTTTTAATTTAGCTCATAAAATTCATACAAATTACCCGGCCAGAATATAATTTACATTGCTGGAATTCTTACAATTTGGTGATCATTTTGAATATAAACATCATATATTTTGCATTAGACATAAAATTTTTAGATAAAATGTTTAATCTGAGTAAGTATGTTATCTTTTGTGCAAAATATATGACGTTTATATTCAAAATATTCCTGGTCATACAAGGAATCCAGCAATGTCAATTATATTATCCTAACTTTAATCTGAGGTATTATTTAATACAAAATGTTAAAATCTAAATTTTTCACCCAACATCTCTTGAAGGGAGGATTGGTGGGGGGTGGGGGGGAGGGTTGGGACTGACCGCGCGGTTGGAAGAAGAGGGGGGAAGGCAAGGTGGGGTACTTTGATTGACAGATAGTGTCGTGAAGAATATTTTTTTTTTTTATTAACTGAAGATATTTGTTTTAGCTCATAAAATTCATACAAATTACCCGGCCAGAATATAATTTACATTGCTGGAATTCTTACAATTTGGTGATCATTTTGAATATAAACATCATATATTTTGCATTAGACATAAAATTTTTAGATAAAATGTTTAATCTGAGTATGTTATCTTTTGTGAAAAATATATGACATTTATATTCAAAATATTCCTGGTCTTACAAGGAATCCAGCAATGTCAATTATATTATCCTAACTTTAGTTTGAGGTATTATTTATTACTATACCTGGTTTTCCCCCCAAAATTTCTCAAGAGAGGGAAGAGCCAGCAGTGTAGTGTGAGAGGGGGAGGGAGTCGTGTCCATTATTTGAATGGACATTAACTTGGCGACTGTATTTCTCTATTTCTCTTAAGTATTAATTGTGTGCATGTACCATCATAAAATTACGATGTTATTTTTACTACAACATAGTTATGTGTCGTCAAAAAGTGGAGTTTGGGGATCGGCCTGGACTCCATTTCAATTAATCCCATATGTTATGTTATTCACTTTACGCATTTCTCGCTTTCCGCGGTACCCTCCGGGTTACATTAACCGCGTAAAGTGAGGGTTAACTGTATATATATATATTGAGGAGGCATTATCCCAGTCAATGCAATGCTTGTTATCCCTCAAATGAACAAACAGAGCATTGGATTCCTGGCCTGTCCTAACACTGTATTTGTGTTGTTTAATTCTAGTTGCAAGATCTTTACCTGTCTGGCCTAAGTAAAACATATTACATTCCTTGCAAGGAACTTTATAAATGCAACCAATTGTGTTGTTGGGGGAGTTCTTAATTAACATTTGTTTAACAGTGCATGAGTTTTTAAATGCCACATTGACGTTCCAGGTTTTTAGTTGTGAAGGAATGTGTGAGAAATATATATATATATATATATATATATATATATATATATATATATATATATATATATATATATATATATATATATATATATATATATATATATATATATATATATATATATATATATATATATATATATATATATGGAAAAATTTAGTGCTAAATTTTGAGAAGTTTGTCTAATGTTCTATATACTGTATATCAGTACAAAGTTTTTCTGAATAATTATGAAATTCATACCTCGTGATTCTGCTTCTCAGGTAACCCACAGATGTGTAGTGCAACTGTTGAACATCTTCGGTCAGTCATGGCCTCAAGCAATACTAAACCAATATTTGGTATCTGCCTTGGCCATCAGCTGCTCTCTGTGGCTGCAGGGTGTTCCAGTTACAAAATGAAGTAAGTAATTTTGTGAGTGACTCCTGGTCGTATAAACCGATGGTTGAGGAACCTCTGATTATACGACAGATTTTGGATGTTCTTAATCAGTATTTATTGTGTTTGCTCTGGAAAATGTACCATTTCTCTCCCGTCATATTTGTTTATGAAATATAATTTCCATGGAATTTGGTTGTCGTTATTTCCCATATTTATTTATGGGAGTTATGGTTTCAGTGCTATTTTGATATATTGGGTGGGAGAAGCATTACTTTTATTTATATATTGTTTTAAAGTATACAATGGAGTCGCAATAATTCAAAGGTTAGGTACCAGAAGATGCCATGAATTATGGTTTGATTTAAATGGAAAAAAATTGTTAGGTTCCGGAGGCCCAAAAATGCCCATAAACTGTTCCAAACTTGGGAATTTGATATTATGTGTTAGGCAAAATGGCATTGGGTAAGCTTAACTTCTTATAGGAAAACTGGGGTTGCTGGATCGTGGCTGTGTATGGACTCTTATGACTACTGGGCGGGCGGGCGGGTCGTGTTGCGTCTCTGTAACAAAGCGTGTTCGGCATTCGGGCCTTCGATGTAGAGCGGCAGAAATTGGACAGTGATTACATAAGTTCGTTAAGATCGTCTTAGTGAGGTGAAAGTGTAAATCGATGTCGGACTTTTCATGCTAGACACGATTGTATTTTTGAAAACTCAATTTCCACCGAGTTGGAGGTACAGCCAGGGTCACAGGCCTATAACCACACAATCACTGCCACATGACAAAGCTTTTATTTTATTTTATTTTTTAGGGTGTTGTGGTCATGGCTGTGATAAAGGCCAACCAGGGAGTGTAGTACTGTGCCTTCAGTTAAATCAGTTCATAGTTGTCATCAGTGAATGCAGAAGAGACTAAAATAACTTAAAGTGAATACATATTGGCAATCGAGCTGGTAAGGACAACTGCCAGCCTATTCGTGTCATAGGTGCCACAGAGACTTTAAATTTTATTTTGTTTGTGTGCTTTCTCAAGGACTGAATCTGTGTTTATAATACACCACTCACAGGGAGATACAGTGTACACAGTGATAGTTCAGAGTGTCATCAGTGACCGCGGAAGTTGTAAATAACTTAAAGTGAGCGCTCACTAGCAAGCAAGCTGGAAAGGCACCGTGCCAGCTGAAACCAAGTCATGTCATAGGTGCCACAGAGACTTTAAATTTTATGTTGATTGTGTGCTTTCTCAAGGACTGAAACTGTGCCTACATTACACCATTGACAGGGAGATACAGTGTACGCAGTCGCAGACGACAACTCCATAGGCAACAGAGAGTAGCTAAGTACTTTTTCTCTCTTTATTTTCTTTGAAATAGGTGTAGATTTATACACAGTCTGCACCCCCCCCCCCACAACAACAACAACCATGAGTTTGATATGTGATTACTGCAGGGAGACGTCGGATATGGAGGATGCAGGCCTAACTAATGCAGCGTTTAGGAGGTTACTAACTGCCGTAAAGCTTGATGGCTGTTGCTGGTATTGCCCTGGCTGCATAGTCAAGGTGAATGAAGCGATTGCAATCCATAAGGGAACGAGTTCTCTAGGGACGAAAATAGATGAAGCAGGAGCCCTGCTGGTTGACAAACTGGAGCAAGTTGGGAAAGAGATCCTTGCTAAGACTGAGGAAGTAGCTAATAGAATGGAGGTGGTTGCTAAGAGGAGTTATGCTGACGTATTAGGAGGGCCACGGGGGGGGGCGGAGAGTAATGCAGAATCAGTACAGGTTCTACAGCAGATTGGGACTCTGAAAAAGTGTGTCGAAGAAATGAAAATTAACGCACCTACTGTTAGGGGAGAGGAGGAACACCAGGAACGGCTCCAGCGCAGGAACAATGTAATAGTTTTTGGAGTCCCAGAGAGCCAGGCAGAGGGAACTGTGAGTAAGGAAACACACGACAAGGTGCTGTTTCAAAATATTTGCACAGAGGTTCTGAAGATTCCAGCAACCCCTCAGGATGTGAGGAGACTGGGACAAAAGCAGGGGGCTAAGCCTCGCCCCCTCAGGATCACACTAGGGAGTGAGGAGGAGAAATGGCAAGTTATCCGGCAGGCAAAAAACTTAGCAAGGAGCGAGGCATTTCGGGATGTATTTATTCACCCAGACCGCACGGTAATGCAGAGGGAACAGCACAAGAAGCTCCTGCTGGACTTGAAGCAGAAGAGGGAGGAGTCGAGGAGGAACGGGGACAGGTGCACATGGGTTATACTCAGGGGGAGGGTAGTGGAAACAAGTGTGCCGACACAGGGCCAGGGGGCAGCAGTGCACCCTCCACCCACTCAACCCCCCACCCGGGAGGCGGCACCAGCTCAGCCTACCGGACAGGAGGGAACGAGCGCCGTGTAAACAATGACATTTTTAACCACACCCTGCAAAATACAGTGTACTTAGCAAATGCTGCAGCTTCTGAGAATGTGGGTGGAGCGGGTTTATTACTAAGAGCAGAGACGTTACCGAGAACAAATTCTGGCTTGAATGTCATGTACACTAATACTGACACGTTCCTTGATAAGAGGGAGGAGTTTGAAACACTACTAAGAGTACACCAACCAGATATTGTAGGAGTTGTAGAACTGTTGTACAAGAACAGGAGAATCGACCCAGAGGAATGTGAGTTCAGTATTGCTGGATATGACTCATTTACGAACCTAACTCAAGAATCCTGCAGGAGGGGTGTGGTTATCTACGCTAGGCAAGACCTTAGAGCCAGCCAGGCGAGGGTACAGGGAGAGGATGTTTTTGAAGAGTCCAAGTGGTGTAAAATTAAATTAAAGGGAGGGGACTTACTTATCGTCGGGTGTATCTACAGATCCCCGAACTGTGGCCCACTAAATCAAAGGAACTTAAGAACCTTAATAAACAATGCGGCGATGCTCAACCCCAGCCACCTCCTTATCATGGGGGACTTTAACTATGGCGACATCGACTGGAGAAACGAGTCAACCCCGAATTACTTGAATAATCCTGCTACTCTTTTTGTAGAAACTCTGAGAGATAATTTTCTGTTCCAACATGTGAGAGACCCGACACATTACAGAGGGGAGCAAACACCCAAGCCACTTGACCTCATCATAACAAACGAGGAGGGTATGGTGGCCAAACTGGAACACCTTGCCCCAGTTGGCACCAGTCACCATACAGTGTTGTCATTCAGATTTAACTGTTACCTAGTTCAAGATAAGGCCAGGCCAAGGTGCAAATATTACAAGGGAAATTACAATGGGATGAGGGAAGAGATGAGGGGTATCAACTGGCCTGACTTATTAAGGTACAAGAACGCAGACACTACGCTGAATATCATAACTAGTAAAATGACCCATTTGATCGATAAATATATACCCAAGACCAAACCCAGTGCTTCTAGGAATACGAGGGGATCCCTACACATGAACCATGCGGCGGTCGACAAAATTAAGAAGAAAACCCAGAAATTCAAGACGTGGGTTGGGTCAAACGATGAGCAAGACAGGAGGATGTATGCAAGAGCCAGAAACCAAGCAAAGATAGAGTGTAGGAGGGCTGAAAAGGAGTTCCAAAGGCTGGTTGCACGCGAGGTCAAGTCAAACCCAAAGGCGTTTTACCGCTATGCAAAGTCGAAATTGAAAACGCGAGTAGGAGTATCAGACCTGAGGCTTGAAGATGGTAGTTACGCAGATTCTGACCAGGATAAAGCTGAGGCATTGAACAGCTTCTTTTCCTCAGTGTTCACAAGAGAGGATGCAACTAACCTTCCTGCGTTTGAGGACAGACGGTTCGACACAGCACTGACCCACATTGTGTTCACAGAAGAGGGTATTAGAAATAAACTGTCCAGGCTAAAGGTCCATAAGAGTCCTGGACCTGACATGGTGCATCCTAGAGTGCTAAGGGAGCTGTGCAACGAGCTTGCAGAGCCCCTGAAGATTCTGTTTTGTAAATGCCTGGATGAACAAATGGTCCCCAGTGAATGGAAAGTGGCTTATGTGAGTCCTATCTTCAAGAAGGGCGATAGTCACTCCACGAACAACTATAGACCGGTGAGCCTGACCAGCATAATATGTAAAGTACTTGAGAGTATTATCAGAGATGCAGCGATGGAACATCTACTACGAAACAACCTTATAAAAGATTGCCAACACGGTTTTATGCCGGGGCGCTCTTGCTTGACACAATTGCTCAAGGTATTGGATATTTGGACCCATATTCTAGAACGTGGTGGTAATATCGACAATATTTACCTAGATTTTGCCAAGGCTTTCGACAGTGTACCCCACGAAAGGCTGAAAATCAAACTGGAAGGGTACGGAATTCGGGGAAATGTCCTAGCGTGGATAGAAGACTTTCTACATGACCGCAAGCAATGTGTGGTGATTAATGGCACAAAATCGTCATCTGTACCTGTAACAAGTGGGGTACCGCAGGGTAGTGTATTGGGCCCGCTGTTGTTTGTTTGTTTCATAAATGATATGCCTGACGTTGTACACTCCTCCATACAAATGTTTGCCGATGACGCCAAGTTATTTCGGGAAATTAAGAACCAAGCGGACTGTGAAGAGCTGCAGAAGGACCTCTGTGGGCTCCAGGAATGGTCGAAGGAATGGCTGCTGAGATTCAATGTCACGAAGTGTAAGAGGATGCACCTGGGGCGTACCAACGGTAAGGAGGCGTACCATATGTCCCAACGGGATGAAGAAAATGTACTAGTTGAGACTGTGTGTGAGAAGGACCTAGGTGTGTATGTTGACAATGAGCTGAAGTTCTCGGGCCATTGTGAGAAGAAAGTAAATCAGGCAAATAAATTATTGGGTCTTATAAGAAGGTCGTTCAGATATCTAGACGGTCCGTCCCTCGTGACGATCTTCAGGAGTGAAGTGCTTCCCCATCTGGAGTACTGTCACCCCATCTGGTCCCCGAGATATGCTAGGGACTGTCAGTTGGTTGAAAATGTTCAAAGGAGGGCCACCAAACTGGTGCCTGCACTTCGGCATCTCAGCTACCCTGAGAGATTGGAGCGCCTGAACTTGCCTAGCTTATACTACAGACGGGCAAGGGGGGACCTAGTTGAGGTTTATAAGCATCTCAGGGGGCACTACTCAGTTGAGTGTCCTTACTTGGAGCTGGCGGACGCTCGCCCCACAAGGGGTCACAGCTCAAGATTGAAGAAGCCGCAAGTCCAGAAAACCGTGAGGGCAAACTTTTTCGGAGTGAGGGTTGTAAACTCTTGGAACAATCTACCAGAGAGTGTTGTGACGGCACCGAGTGTGAGCTCTTTCAAGAGAAGATTTGACCAACATTGGAGCGGGTTCAGGTACATTCAGGAGCCGGTGCATGCCCAGTATTTGCCAACAGTGCGTGACAGAGATGTGACCGATCGCCCGGGCGGCTAGCGAGCCGACCTTTTGGTGAAGAATATAAAGGAAAAGAGACGTGACCGATCGCCCAAGCGGCTAACAAGCCGATCAGTGGCGAAGAGGATAAAAAAAAAAAAAAAAAAAATGAATTGCATTCCTTTTCAACATATATGTATATGATAGTAATAGAACTAACATACCATAAAAATTTAAAAATGTTAATGATAAGCATTATAAAATCATATTACTGTACTCACCGATCCATGGTTATAAGATTGTAGCGTGACGATGATATTGAAGATGTTGCGAAGCGTTCTGATGACGATGATTGATGAAGAGGACTTCGATGATGATGGAACTGGAATGATTTTTATTTCTTAAGCCGATGGATCATCAGGATCATCGGCTTCAGTCTCCAGATGGGCAGATGATGATGGTTGGGGTTCATAGAGTTCTGGTTTGGCAGATGATGTTGATGGTTGGGGTGACTGCGGCGTTGAGAAGTATGTTATTTTCTGTTTGCTTTTTCTATGCAAATCTTTCAAAATTTCTTTGTTTGGTACATAAATAGTATCGATGGCCCTTTTGAACTTCAAACTTCTCTTCATTAGTGTATCTTTGTTGAAACATGTCACAAAATTCATTTGCTTTCAGGAGGAATTCAGAGGTCGCCTTAATTGTTAATTTAGGTTTTATGGGTTCCACTTCAGCAGGATCATCATCATCCTCATCATCACTTTTACTGTCATCTGCTATAATCTCTAAGTTCCTCATTTGTTGGTTCTTGAAAATGTGAGTGCAACAGCTCATTCACCACCTTCTCTACATGTCATCAAAACCCTCACCTCCAATTTCCTTTGCAAGTTTCACAATTTCTGTGATTTCCTTGTCAAGCATCTGAAATCCTATGAAATCAGGAACAATTTTAGGCCAAATTTGGTGCCAGCAAGCATTTATAATGTCAAGGCAGTCTTTGATGTTAAATGTCTTCCAGAATTCCATCAGTGTTTTATATGCACCAGCAACCATTGCTTCAGTTGCTTACCTAAAGATATTCCACGTGTAATATGATCTAACTGTGTTGATGACGCCTTGATCTATTGGTTGCAGAATTGAGGTGGTATTGGGGGGGAAAAAAAACATAACCTCCACATTGGGATGGGTGAACTGAAGTGTGCATTTCTGCATCATGGCCTGGGGCATTGTGGGGCATTATCCAGCAATAGCAACACCTTTGAGTCAAAATTCTTCTTCATGAGATATTCCTTGACCTCATGCACAAAACGATTCTCCAACCAATCATTAAAGAGCACCCAAGTCACCCAGGCCTTTTTATTGGACTTTCAAACAACAGGCAAATGAACCTTATTTTCACCTTTTAACACCTGGTGGTTTTCCGAACGATACACAAGCATCGGTTTGCACTTAAAATCATCAGCTGCATTGCCACAAAATAACAATGTCAGCCTGTCTTTGAAAGCTTTAAACCCTGGAGCAACTTCTTGGGTCAGTATAATGTAGGTTCGGTTACTCGTATGTTTATAAAAGAGGCCAGTCTCATCAGCATTAAACACTTACTTCTGGGCATATCGTTTGTCCTTATATCAGTTCAAGCAGCATGGGCTTGAACTGCTTTAGTACAGTGTTGACAGACAGCACTAGCGTGTAAGCAAGTCTGGCGGGCATCTCCAACTGGCACGTGGCTGAGGCAGAGTGGAAGAGGAAGGCGAAGGGAGTGTTGGACAAATTATTTGGTCACGTACAGTATATTTAAACGTGTATAGTGAAAATCGTGTTGGAAAAACCAGCATTGGGCGAGGGTTCACTGTACTTCATATGTTTCGGAATATTTTTATTTTATTTTTTTTTTATTTTATTTTTTTTACGGGGATTAGCCAACCTGGGCACAGGTCACTGACCCACATCAGGGCCTGGGGGGTTATTGCACATCACTTTTTCATAGTGACAATACAGGAAAAGCATTTGGGTAGCAACCATCGCAAAACTGATCTTAGCCTAGACAACGCATAGTGGTAAATGGTTTTAATTTTTTTACTTCGTAAAACTGATCGATTGTATATAGATTCGTTGTATAATGATCATTACCTGCATTCTATAAATAATAATTTTCATTAAAAATCCATAATATCAATATATGCTGGAAAACACGACAATTTTTTTTTTTTTTTTTTACACCAGCTTACACAAGTTTAAACACCCAAATATTTCCTGTAAGCACATTTTATTAATAAAACATTATTAATATATTTCATAAATTACTACAGTAACTTCAATATAAACTAGCCAGATACAGTAATATCCCCGTAGCAGGAATCTTTGATCCCAAAAGTTTCTGAGAGTTTACATCATGCTCCAACACATGCCAAGTGTGTGGGTGGGTAGGCTCAGATTATTCATGAGCTATGATTGTCCACTACTGTCAAATGACTGTATGGGATGCCTATAATTGGCTGATGTATCTCACAGCCTGTCTCCTGGAACTCTAGCATCATGACACTGAGTTCATTGTCTGCTGCCATTGTACAAGCTTGTTTGTTTGCTCACTGCTGTTTTTGCATACAATCTGTGTTGCGTAGTACTGGACATTACTGCACCTGGACACAAACGGCCACGAATACAGTGTTAAAGCAGTGCTAAGACGTAAAAAAGTGATCACTGTTACGTAAACTGTACAGGTAGTTCTGCTATAACGCGATAATTGTGTTCTTGTCAAATATCGTGTTATAGAAAATCGCGTAATAGAAATAACAGGGCTTATGGAGAAAATAGGGTTAGGTGCAGATTACTCGAAATCGAAAAAATTTAGTAGTTAGCCTAACACATAGGATAGCACAGTCTAAATAAATGTTACATTCATATCTAATAATGAAATCATACAGTAAATGTAACACTTTACTTGATGGGGGAGAAGGGTGATTTTGAGGTTGATAAAATCGAGCTTCTCTTCAAGTGTTATATCCTTTCTTTTACGATAATCACCGGGAATTCTATCATCAGAACGCTTTTTGGAGATATTCTTCTTTACCATATTCACAGTTAATACCACAAAATTGGAGAAATAGCAAGCAAAAATCGCGTTATAGCAAACAAGCGTTCGCGTTATACAAATATTGTTCCTAATTCATAAATCGCGTTAGAGCAAATTCGCGTTATCAAAACACGCGTTATAGCAGAACTCACTGTACTGTACATTCAGTAACTGTGAAAGTACCATCTGTACAATACTGTACTTAGTAGAGTGGACAGTGTATGTCTAGTGTAGGCTAGTGTGTAGAGGTTTAAGTACAATACTATACAGTGTGTGTGTGTGTGTGCACGTGCAAATGTATGCATGTGCATGCACTATCCCTCCTTCATGGTAAAAGACAAAGGCAGGTCATCCTATATCTTGTATCACCATTTCACCTTGCACCACAAGCTCAAGACTACAGCGTCTGTGGGGAGTAGAGAACAGTATAGTGTATACAGTGGTGTATTTTATTTATTTACAATATAATGTATGTGTACAGCAGTTTTTGGATACATAAATACTGCTGTGTCTTTCCAACTGCAGTTAAGCCTCTGAAGCATTCACCAGATGTTTATTTTAGACACAAACATTCACCAATGCCCAGAAAAATTCAGTAGATGTGCATTTTTTTCCGGGATAAGAGAATTCATCTCAATACCCTGAAATCTCTCAAACCTGGAAAAATGCTCTGCACTAATTTCTCTGGCTAACAGGGATATTACTGTATTAAGGTATTAATGTAAATACGTACTGTATTGGTAGTGGGAATTACTGTATGTACCGCACTGAGCTTAAATAAGATAAACATCATAATATTTCCTCCAAGCAAATTTTATGAAAAACTATTAATACCTGTACAGTACTGTATTGTACTGTAGGGACTGGAAATCGGCCACTGTCGCCCCAGTACAGGGAGTCTACAGAGAATATACCCCCCCCCCCCCTCGGGTATCATACAAATTGTGGGGCAGTGTACTATACAATAAAAATACCACTAGTGTACTTAGTGTTTTTCACTTGCAGATATGGTAATCGTGGGCATAATCAACCATGTGTTCATGAAGGCTCAGGGCGATGTTTCATCACATCACAGAACCATGGGTATGCTATTGATACAACTTCAATCCCACATGATTGGGCACCACTCTTCACAAACAAGAATGATAATTCAAATGAGGGTATTGTTCATCGTACGCTTCCTTTCTATAGGTAAGAAAAAGCTTTCATCTTTTGTTACCATTAAAATTTTATTTTTATGACCTAATAATCCTCATTGGATGACTACTACTAGAATTCTGACAAGCATGAGTGGCCACTGATCATATGGTTAAAAGTCCATAGACAAACCCCTAACTCTGGTCCGGATCTCATCTCATTGGAGGTTAGGTGAGGTTAATAGTATCGTTTCAAAGATTTATTTGCATAATTTACAAACATTCAGCTTCATTTTAAAACAAACTGCAACATTCTAGCTAGAACACTTTCTGTGTTATCAATTTCTGAATGTTGCAACTTTGAATGCATTTCCTGACAAAAAATGAGAATGGTGCGTGTGCTAGATTTTCCATGCAATGCCTTTATATATACAGAAAACCTCGATTAGCCGACCCTCGATTAACTGACTTTCGGATTAACCGTCACTCCCGAACCCCTAATTTTTTTTTTTTTTTTTTTTATTTATTTGTTGTTTTTTTTTACACAAGGATTAGCCCACCCGGGCACAGGTCACTGACCCACATCGGGGCCTGGGGGGCGATAATGTAATAATATTAATAATGATCATGATAATAATAATAATAGTAATAATAATAATAATAATAATATAAATAATAATAATAATAATAATAATAAAAGTACCATAGAGAAATGCAAAAATGGAAAAAATAACCCAAGAGTGAGAAACAATGTACCTGTATGTATGTTGTGTTGTCAATAGTTAGAGAAACAATTGAGACCCTGCAATTGTGTGTAAATGAGGCAGAAAGTCAGATCAGCAACCTGGGACTTGGTCACAATTTTTGTGATGACATATGTTCTTTGGCTTTTCCATTTTTTATTCACGGCTTCTGTGCTAGTTCATATTTATTTACAAAAGTGGTTAATGTTTTAATGCAAATTCTATTGAAATATGAATGGCAAATGAACAAAAATGAATAGAGGGACTTACATGAGGTAGGTTAGGGAAAGGTACTTTGAAGATGTCAGTTTTATTTCCGTAGACTTTATGTAATATTAACTGAACTTTTGGATTATTCGTCGGCCCTTTCCCCCCATATGTGGGTGGTTAATCGAGGTTTTACTGTGTGTGTGTATATATATATATATATATATATATATATATATATATATATATATATATATATATATATATATATATATATATATATATATATATATATATATATATATATATATATATATATATGTAAATCACTGTAGGTGCGCGTGATCTAGGTATATGCTGATAACCACAAGGAAAGAAGAAAACACGAAGTTCCCAAGCGCTTTCGTGTAATTCACATCTTCAGGGGTGAGTACAGACTAGAGAGAGAAATACAAATCAAGGTGTATATATACAGAGAAGGGTGAGACCAGGTCCACAATGGTCAGGTATTAGGTAATGACCCTACTAATCTTTAAATAGCACACAACGGTTGGTGGTCAGGTCAGATGGTCAGGTGACCCGGCCTTCTCACCTGGTCACAAATCTTCTTAATTACAAAATTGTCCAGCTTGTACATGCCGTTACTCAAATTCATGTTGAATGCTTCGGTATGTTTAATAAGACTAGATTCTATGATGTTCCTACTATCAATTGAATTACATGGTAATATTGAGGAGGCATTATCCCAGTCAATGCAATGCTTGTTATCCCTCAAATGAACAAACAGAGCATTGGATTCCTGGCCTGTCCTAACACTGTATTTGTGTTGTTTAATTCTAGTTGCAAGATCTTTACCTGTCTGGCCTAAGTAAAACATATTACATTCCTTGCAAGGAACTTTATAAATGCAACCAATTGTGTTGTTGGGGGAGTTCTTGATTAACATTTGTTTAACAGTGCATGAGTTTTTAAATGCCACATTGACGTTCCAGGTTTTTAGTTGTGAAGGAATGTGTGAGAAATTTTTGTGAAATGGTAATATTAAGATATTCTTATGGTCATGGGTGGGCTTGGGATCAGTTCTATAAAAAGTTTTCTTAGTAATGTTTAGGCATTTGTCTATGAAAGATCTAGGGTATTTAAGGTTTGAGCCAATATTATATATATATTTGTATTCCTCATCGATGAATTCCGGACTGCAAATTCTCAAGGCACGTAAAAACATTGTTGAAAATACTGACTGTTTGACTTTATTATGGTGGGCAGAATAATAATGAATGTATGAACACACATTAGTTGGTTTTCTATAAATACTGAACTTAAAAGTGTTACCTATTCTGTGTATCAGATAGTCTAGGAATGGCAATTTACAGTCTTGCTCTAATTCCACAGTGAATTTGGATCGAGGGGGCTAAGTTGTTAAGTTGTGGCAGGAAAGCTTTTAGGTCCTCATTACATGGCCAGAGACATAATACATCATCAACATATCTAAACCAGACTGCTGAGGGTGGTAAAATATTACTTAATAGTTTCTTTTCAAAGAATTCCATATATAGGTTGCTTAATACAGGTGAGAGTGGATTACCCATTGCCATACCAAATTTTTGAGCATAATATTCCCCATTGAATTCGAATTTGCAATCCTTAATACATAGTTTGATGAGTTCGATGAAGTCGTCTTTCGAGACGGGCAGTGAAATATCATCCAGGGAATCTATGAGGAACTCTAGTAAATCATCAACTGGGACCTTTGTAAAGAGTGATGTTACATCAAAGCTGACCAGTTTAAAATCATAATTAATGTGTAAGTTATTGAGTTTATCAACCAGATCCATATTATTCTTGATATTGGAGTTAGAAATGTTGCCAACTAGGGGATTTAGTAAAGAAACTAACCATTTAGATAGTTTATAAGGGATTGACCCAACTGAGCTAATGATGGGTCTTGCTGGGTTATTGGGCTTGTGGGTCTTGATTACATCATAGGAACATCATAGAATCTAGTCTTATTAAACATGCCGAAGCATTCAACATGAATTTGAGTAACGGCATGTACAAGCTGGACAATTTTGTAATTAAGAAGATTTGTGACCAGGTGAGAAGGCCGGGTCACCTGACCACCTGACCTGACCACCAACCGTTGTGTGCTATTTAAAGATTAGTAGGGTCATTACCTAATACCTGACCATTGTGGACCTGGTCTCACCCTCCTCTGTATATATACACCTTGATTTGTATTTCTCTCTCTAGTCTGTACTCACCCCTGAAGATGTGAATTACACGAAAGCGCTTGGGAACTTCGTGTTTTCTTCTTTCCTTGTGGTTATCAGCATATATATATATATATATATATATATATATACATATATATATATATATATATATATATATATATATATATATATATATATATATATATATATATATATATATATATATATATATATATATATATATATATATACATACATATACATACATACATACATACACATACATACATACACACACATATATATATATATATATATATATATATATATATATATATATATATACATACATACATACATACATACATACATACATACATGCATACATACATACATACATACATACATATAAAATCAACTACCTCACCAGCAAGGAATCGAACCCTCGACCTACTGGGTGTGACTAGGGAACGCTTACCGGCTAGGCCACAAGGACACTAAATGCAGTTCTAGACTCTGTTATATTTCACACAAAGCCTGTTCATCGAGCTGATGGCGCCGTGAACCTCAATGGGAAACTGCCCGTTTCCCATTGAGGTTCACAGCGCCATCAGTAGACGCATACACCTCCCCTTAGAACGGAAGGAGGTATAAAGGTTGTAGTTGGAGACTTGAAAAGGTTTGGGTGAAGCTGCTTTGGTCAGTTGAAGTTTGGAAAGTAGTAAGAGGTCAGGGGAAGAGGTTAATAGATGGTGCTCCACAGAAGGAAAATTGGATCTCAGTCCGTGAATGTTGGAAAAATGAAGTGTGAAAAAAGCCGATCCTCCAGTAACCGCGGTGGCGTCAGTTGAGGCTCCAGTAGCTTGATGATGATCAGGTCGGCCCTGGGGTTCACAACCTTCCTGACCAGTGGGACCCATCCGAGAAGGCCCCCACTTCAATATTAATATCAACTGACATAGGAGAATAAAATAGAATGAATAAAACAGACCAAGAATGAGTACGGTTATATTTGTGGTGTTGTCAAAAGGTAAGAGAGACAGTTGAGACCCTGCAATTGTGTGTAAATGAGGCAGAAAGATAGATCATCAACCTGGGACTTGGTCACAATTTTCATAATGCCATATGACAGCCCGGTCTACCATTGGACAAATCATTATGCTTCCAATATCTTCCCAGGCGGTAGTACCTCCCTGTTTGGTAACTACCTTCTACCTACATAGTAGGTAGTTTCAAGGTAAAACCCTTCATGATATACCATTCAGAGAACCCAAGGGCTTTTAAAAATGTCAGCAAGCACACACTGCCAGTGTTTTATTGCAGTAATAAGAAAGCATGGATGACCCAAGCACTGTTTGAGGATTGTTTCATGAGTTGTTTCATTCCACGAGCCAAGGAGTATTGTCTGCAACAAAGGGTTGCTTTTAAGATTTTACTAATTTTCGATAATGCTCCAGGACACCCACCACACCTGGATGACCTGCACCCTGATGTTAAGGTAGTCTACTCTCCACCTAACACTACTTCTATCTTCCAACCCATGGATCAAGGTGCTATTGCTGCTTTTAAAGCGTATTATTTACGTACAACCTTCACTCAGGCTGTTGCTGCTACTGAAGGTGAGAAAATGCTCAGAGTTTTGGAAGGAGTACAACATTTTGAAATGTACAAAGAACATAGCTGCAGCATGGGATGAGGTTACAGGTCAGTGCATGAATGGAATATGGAAGAAGGTCCTGAAAAGATATGTGAACAGTTTCAAAGGATTTAATGAAGATGAAGCAATTTCTGAGATTAGTTACAAGATAGTGCAGATGGTTAAACATCTGGAGTTAGTAATTGATAATAAAGATGTTGAGCAGGTGGTGGAAAGTGTAGCAGAAGAGCTAAGT